CGCAGCCGAGGAAATGAAGAAATTGCTGCTGCAGCTCTTGCTCCTGCTCCTGCTCCTGGCATTGAAACCGCTGGCTCGGCTCCGTCCTATGCTCCTTCAGGAACTTTCAACAACTTCCTATGCCCAAAGTTTCCACAAATTAGTTATGCAAATTATGTGAGTCGCCTTCACCTCACCGGGGGGAGGGTGAGCTAACAGCTAACCATCTACATCCCAGCATCTTCCATCTGGCATCTCACAGCAGCATCACCTCATCACCCACTGTGATCCGCATTTAAAACAATGGCTCCGGCGACCCTTGGCTGCGAATAACGCTCCCAAAAGTGTGTCCTCCTCCGGGCCGAAGACCAGTCCGATTAGGACGCATAACAAAGTAGAATTCGTGTAAGTTCGTATTTAACATGCTTTATGCATTCCTCAATTATAAATAGATTAAAGTCCCGAATAGACTAAAGTTAAATGTTAACTTTTCGGCCAAGGCGGACACCATTCACAAAGCAATTAACGCAGCCAGATCCCACTCATCCCCCTGGATCCTGCCTGGTCCCGAAAAGGAAAGGCAGGAACCCAATTTAACTGACTGCCAACTTTCCACAATCACTGCCCATCATCAATTTCAGATTTTGTTGTATGTTTTATGAAGCAGTCAAGGCACAGGACAGCCGCCCGTCAACCAGACACTTGGACAGACAAACAGACAGGCTCAGAGACAGTCGGCGATTGGGTGTGGTGTGGTGTCGTCAGAGCTTCGGGGTAGGAGGATTTGGGGGCTGAAGGACATTGCTGGCAGCTCGTACGGGATGCCGCCCGGAGGGTGGTCTTCGGCGGAAAGTGAAAACAATGCCTGGCCACAAACGGTTGGGCAATGGCTATCCAGGGAGGCCGTCGACCGCCTGCCGAGTGTGTGCGGATGCTCCTTGCTGAGTGTTTACTTAACCGTAATCCTGACCCCGACCCAGACCCACCAGATTCACCTCCAATCCCCTCTCCCTCTCCCTCTCCCCCACCCCCCAGGCTGAACTTGAACCACATCGCACCGAGCGTCGAGCAACAAACAAAGGCGAGCAGATAAAGCAGCGAAGAACGATGGGCGATGGGGGAAAAAAGGGTTGAATGGTTGGATGGTTGGCTGGCCGTCGTCTTAAAGGATTGCTCAAGTTGGCCAAAACCAATATGTAAATGTGCGTGTTGTGATTAAGCACAAAAGCAGAGTAAGCCAGATACAAAAAGCCGGACTGTCGGACCAACAGACAGACGGCAGAGTTTTCTTGTCTTGTCCGAAAGCCAAAATCTTCAAACCGCACCGCACACACATAATGTGGCCCAAAACGAAGCCAAGCAAAAACGCAGCCTTGGCTAACTTTACACACCTCAAGTGTTTGTTTAGGTTGCTTTGCTTTGGCTTTGCCTTGCTTTTGGGGTTTTTGCTTTTTGTTGAATGGAAGTGCCACAGGGGGGAAAACACTCGGCAAAAATTAGCAAAAATCTTCACAAAAAAGGAGATTAGTTCAACTCGTTCAACTTATCCGAAAAGCTATCTCTCTTTGGCAAAAAAAAGGATTTTGCCAAGCTTGTTGAAGTTTTTCGAAAACCTTTCAAAGCGAATAGCCCTTAGCTAAGAGTTTGTGAGAAATTATAAATTAAATGAATTAATATTATTAAGAGTCTTTTATAATAAAATATACTGCATGCGTGGGAAGTAGTTTTCAACTAATATTATTGTTATTGTTAAACAACTCATTTATGATTGTTGTAAATTAAGATAAAATAATACAGCTTCTAAACTAGTTTTATAAACTAATTTTGGTAAGATTTTCTTTATGAAAAACATAAAAGTACCAAATTATTCAAGTTCTCAAGCCTGGAATGCAATTACTAGGACATTAATAGCTTTATGCAAATGCTGTTGAAATAAAGCTAAAAAAATATTACTTAAATCCGAATCATCTCTTATTCAAGTGCCTTGGGGCACCTAGTCCATGCCTTTGATGCCATGTCCCTGAGAAAACAGAGCCTTGCATTAAGATTATTATTTTATTTGAGTGTAGGTGGGGTTGGAGTAGGTTCAGTGGCCATTTGACGCCTTTGTTGTTTTTGGCCAGCGGCATTATAAATCTTACCCGCAATGGGGGAAAGCGATCGGATCCTGGATTCAGCCACATCCTGGCTTGGCAAAAACAATGGCTATGGGGTACCTATTAGCGTAGCGCAGTCCTGCCTGGCATCCTCTTTCCGCTGGAGTGTGTGAAGTTTTTAAGGGGCCCGCCCATAAATTGCAACCGCCAGGTGAGCGGTAAGGGTCTCAGGATCTCAGGATCCCAGGATGTCGGGGGTGCGCGGGGCTAATGGGTCACTCCTTGATGTATCACACAAACAGACACAAATGATATTTATGCTACCGCAGTTGCTCCAACCGCTGCTCCTTTCGGGCTCCTTGGGCGGAGACTGGAGGAGCTCGTGAGGCTTCTTGTGGACGGACAGCAGCCGCGCACTGCTTGGTGTAATAAAAACTAAAATCCGCACAACAATATGTGCGAGGATAATGCCATTTCCGTTTTATGGGAAATCCTGTTAGTCCTGCGAGTGCTCGCATGTGCGGCTTCCTCAAGGAGCCCAAATCTGGGCGACGAACGAGTTACGACCGGGCTACACCGGGCCAAAAAAATGAGAATAAACCCATTTGGCAAACACCACGGCAAGAAGCATTGCGGTCGTCCTGGCAGTGATGGGTTGCGATAGGTTTCGGAGGACGTAATGGCAATGGTGGCAATGCGTGCCGGCCGTGAATGAATGGATCAGGGATCAAATTTTATGGATTGCCTGGGCATATAATATGCGCACACAACGCTCTCCACACTCCCATATCTCACCTAATAATGAAGTCTGAACTAAGAAATAAATTCCGCAAATTTCATTTGCCAAGTAAGAAGGACTTTATCGTAATTCGAAAAGTGATGGAAGGTTATATAAGAAATCTTTGGGTTTTGGGAAATTAATGGGTTTTCTGAATGTTTTTATAAAGATTATATTAGGTATTATTCTCTAAATTGAACTTCTTAGAGAAATTAGATTTATTATCAATATTCTCTTGCTATCTATTCTTGCTAATGCCTTCTCTATTCACTTATCTATTCAAATTTAAACCCTTTGACAAGAATTATAGATTTAAATATCATAAAAACTATAGGATTAGAGAGTCCTCTGTGTGAACCCCTGATCATTTCTACCATCGCGGCCTTACAATCAGCTAATCTGTCTTACATATTTGCATATCGCCTCGGCTTCAGCTGGCATTACGATGGTTATTCATTAGCCGCTTTCCTGGTCGCTCTGGGCCAACATCTAGGACGCTCTGGTTGCGGTTAGCCGCAGGACTTGGCCCCCTTTTCCATGCCCCCTCTTCATTTTCCTCTCTATTACCGTCTCTTTCTCAACCATAACTAGGCAAACACTTTTTGCTCAGTGTGTGTGTGTGAGGAGCGGCAGGAAAAACAAACGTCCGACTGCGACTGTGTGTCTGTGAAGGAAAAGCGCAACCGGAGAAGAGACGGATGGGGAAAGGAAGAGAGGGGGCAAAACGGAAAGCCGGAGAGTAAGAAAAACCATAACTAAATCCATTGCCATAGGAAAATCCAAAGCAAAGTCTGCGATGCAAATAGTAGAGATTATGGGACTGCAGATGTATGAAGAACGAGAACGAGATGGAGATGGAGATGGAGCTGGAAATGGGAGCTGAAACCCAAGGCGCGGCCAAGGACGGAGGACTGGGACTGAGGCTGATTCTGAGGATGTGCCAAAGGGGAAGACGAAGGTCCCCGGCAGAAGGTGTTATGTGTACGTGGGCACGAGTGTGTGAGGAACAATAAATCTTGCAAGGGTGCCGAATGGTGTCGGGCGACGGGCTTGAGGCCTCCGGCCTGAAGCATCAAGCCCGGACCTGGGCATTGGCGTGGATTTGAGCCGGGACATTGCCCCATCTCCATTTCTCCCTTCTCCAACGGACCTTTGCCGTCCGCCCCGTGCCCCCTCCGTCAGTGAAAACCAAAACCAAATAAAACTGACATTATGCGAAAAGCGAAAGCCATAACTAAAAGTTGGATAACGTGGCCATGATGGAGGCATAGCCTGGGATATGGTGGCTCCAAAGTCCGGAGCAGGAACAGCCGTAAAGTTGATACTAAAGCAAAGAGCAGAGCGTGCAGACCGAAAACAAATCGTAGATTCGTATAGTTTACGATGCTAGACCAGCAATTACCTAGCAATTGTTGCAGGATGATAGTGAAATGATAGCAGTTGAGATGGCAGATAGATGGGTATTGAAAGGCCGGATAGATAGCTAGAAAATGATCTGTTTTACTCTGTATATTTCAACTATTCTAGGTAATACTCTTCCATTATGATTATATCTAAATTAGCTTAAGATAACTTTATGAAAGATTTATCCTATGCTTCAGATTGGCTTTCAACAAGCTTCTTATATATAGGAATCTATTATTATTTACTATATTTATTATACCTTACAATTAACTAAAATATAATTAAAGAAACTCCTCCAAATGACCAAAGTATAATACCATCCTGATGTGTACATACTTTTCTTCGGTCTCTCATGAAGCCAACAGGTTTCAATACCTATATCCTGAAAGCTCCTTATTGGATCATTAAGCCCTTGAGCTATGGCTGACCTAAAAAGCTGAAACCGCTCGAATGCCGCTAAGCAAACCCCAGTTAGTTCTTTAATCGGCTGCCCGCGAGTTGGAAGCACCTCCAAGTGCACCACACAATGGATTCAACTGAGGCACGAGTTGAATATCATTCGATTTCACCCTTTCGTTGGGTGGAACTTTGGGGCGGGGGGCATGGAGACATATCGGGTATGAAAAACAGAAACAGGAAAATAGAAATGATAGCAAAGTTGCGAAACCAGTAGAGGGGGGGCGGGAGGTAGGTAAAGGATTGCTAAAACGGAAATCGACTTTGGCAAGGAGTTTTTCTCGTACCTGTGAATTGGAATCTGGAATCTGGCGCTGCACCGAAGTTATGCAAATGCAGAGTTGTTCGTGCTTGCTCCTGCGGCAGGATCTGGCTCCTGGTCTTGGTCCTGCTGCTGCTCCTGCTCCTGCTCCCACTCGCTCCTCAATCCTGTCAATCGAAGGCGATGTCGCGAGTGCTAATGACGTTTGCTTTGATTGCGCCCCGCACACAAAGTCGAAGAATCTGAGCCACAACTCACAACTGTCATTTTCGCAATGCGTCTATATATCTACTATACATATATTTGTACGTACTCTCGTATATTCTTGAGTGTCTAGCTCAGCTGTTGTATGCTCCTCGCACTCCTGCGATGTCTATTTATTTAATTTGCATGCAATTTTCAATTTTTATGCGAAATGCTCGACATTGACAGCAAACGATGCGCACATTTCGCATCGGCAATGCACAATAGAAATTGAATTGCAAAATTTGTTTGCCTGTCGCAGAAGGGCAGCGCTGGCAAATGGATTGCGAATACAGTGGAATAGCGGATTTGAGGGCTCTTCACGTCTTCACGGCAATGTCACAAGGATTCACAGTGGCGGAGCCCAAGGAGTAAACCAAGGGAGATGAGGCAGCCAAACTCGAAGGAGAAGTCGCACAATTTGGCGGCGAAGATGTCAAGTATACGCCACAGTGACTGCAATTACAATGGGCCAACAACAATGAGGATCTGCCGGCATACACAGACACAGTAGTAAGATGTCACCAATACATACACCCAGCAGGAGTCACAGCAAATGTCAGTGTCTGAGTTAGAGTTAGAGTCTGAGACAGGATCCTGATGCACACACAGACACACACACACACACACACCGATATCCTGCTCACAAAAATCGCGCGAATTTTTTGGCAACACGACCAAAACAAAACAACAACTTTCGAACGTTTAGGCCGCGAAAAAATTGCAAAATCAGTTGCCTTCGAACCACCGAACGCTCCGAAACTGAATTCGCAACTGAGCTGCCAACGAATGGATGCTGCCATCTGGACCCGAGCGACAGGATGCCGAGGATGCTGGACGATTCGGTGGAGGCCTGGTCGTGCCGAAGAGAGTCAGTCAGTGGCAGTGAGTGAGAGCTTTCCCGAGTGCTAAGAGGAGAAAGAGCGGCATCGACATTGGCGACGTGTGACTTCGTTAAATTTCTGCGGCGACAGCACACAAAACGGATTCGGAAGCGGAAGTAGCAAGTAAGCGAGCAAGGAGCGCTCTGTGGGCGTGCTTGTGTGTGTGTTCGAGTCCTGTGTGTGTGTGTGAGTGGGGGGCGGGCCGAGTGGGTGGAGTGGCACTGAAGTGGGCGAAGTAGCGCCAAGTGGCTGGCTAAAGTCGAGTCGAGTCGCGGAGCACGACCAGAATGGAAGTTTTGTGTTTGTGTTTTGCAATGCCAACTATACACACACACACACACACACTCACGTGTGCAGTCACACACATGTCTATCTGGCCATACATACTTATACACAGTATAGCATGTCCTGGCATCAATATTCACATTCGCACTTGTGCGAGTATTTTCTGATTTGCTGCAATCGCGCTTGCCAACAACAAACTTGGCTAACAACAACACCAGCAGCTTCATGGGTGTTGTATCAGGGGTGTAGGGGATGTAGGGGTGTAGGGGTGATATTTTCCAACGGATGTTTGGTAAATCTTTGGCGCCGGATACCAGCGCTGTCTTCCCCTTTCCCTTCCCGCTCCCGCTCCCGTGAGACATGGTTAGAAAGTCTTCCATATCTTTCCATCTGACTCCTGCACAAGGAGAAAATAATGAATTATAAAGGAGTTACGTTACAGGCAGTCAGTCACATAATTATTGAATCATTCAAGAAGTCATGAATCAAATAAGGAATCTTTAAAATTATTAACTAACTTGACATTTTAAATGTCAACCTATGAAATAGAAGGCGATGCTTTGTATTCATTAAATACTCAATACTGATTATAGAATGTTTTAGCTTTTAACTTCTTATTTTGTGAATAAATCATTGAAATCATTAAGAAATTTATTTAAAAACGGGTAGAAGAAATGTTGTAATCTAATGAATAGATTCTATCTACTTGGCATTCTTCAAATTAATTTTTTTATTACTTATTTATACCCTTACAGGGTATCATAATTTCAGTCAAAAGTAGAAGAAGGAATCATTTCCGACCCTATAAATCATGTATATTCTTGATCAGCATCAACAGCCGAGTTGATCTAGCCAATTGTTAACCTTATAAAAACTATCACAGAACTGCTTTCCGAATTTAAATTATATCGATTTAATAGACCTGGAACACACTTATTTTTAACTTTCTTGAAGGTATACATATCCAAAAACCTAATGATTGCCAAAAGTATATATTTCGATTTACAATCAACATAATAATTGATAAAGAATAAAACATAGTATTATTTTGCAGGAATGACAAATAATAAATAGTCAAAAGTACTTAAAGTTTCAGGGAATTAGATTAATTGAACCTTAATAAGGAGATGCTAAAATAGTAATTAAAAACCAATCTTAAGAAATACAATTTTTTTGCGAGTGCAAGGACTCGAGTAGCTTTGCACCCTTGGGTGTGTATGTGTTGGTATCGATAACTAATAAAAGCATTACATTTATGTTAGAGCCAAGTGCCGATTCGTCGTCCCCAGCATTCCCCTCCCCCAACCAGCCAGCAAACCCAGTTCCCTTTGGCCCAGCTCAACCCCCTCGTGTCGCCCTAAGCAATAATTCAGTTTTCATTTCTCTGTTTTCCTCAGTTTCTCATTTTCATTTTCATTTTCATTTTCATTTTGCAGCCAGTGTGTTGCATGTGTGTGCCGTGTGTCCCCGTTTCCCGTTCGCCCAATTGCAGCCCTTGATTGCCACAACGCCCCCCCCTCTTCCGTCCTGGCCCCAAATGTGCTACAGTCACGGCCAGCTAATTGGCAACACTTGGCAGTTGTGCTTTCTTGGCCAGTTTCGTGTGTGTGTGGATCCTTGAAGTGCTGGCTGCGGGTGTGTCTCGTTTAGTTGCCAATTGCTTAGTTGATTTTCATTGTCTGCCCTTTGGGCCGGGCACACAGGTGGTGGCCAGTCAGCTGTTGGGGTTGGGATGGGTAAATGCAAGTGGAAAGTGCTGGGAAAAATGCAGAAAACTTCCTCCTCCGATGTATTGGGTTGTAAGTGAAACGATAAACGCTGTAGCTCGCTGTCATTAATTGGCTGCCGGTTGATGTTTATGTCGTTAGCTCTTCGTTACTGAAAGCCAACAGCGGGCAAGCGGGGGAGTGCTTCGGTGTTTAATAATCTCCTCACATTCATCTGGTTTCAGCTTCCACTTTGGCACTGATTTTCCTGCGATTCTTTTTTTCCCTTGCTCGAACAGAGTAGAGTCCCACATTCAATTAAGTTTTCCAGGACGAATCTGTAGGGGACAGCCTCGGCAGGATGTTAATTAATTATGTTTGTGTAAAGAGCGCGCTTATCTTATATCTCCGGTGCCTGCGATGTTTGTGGTTAAAGTTCAGGCCAGCCTAGCAAATGCCCTCCATTTCCTCGGCTCAAAGCCAAGTCACTGGCAGCTTCCTTCTGATCCTGAATGCCAGGAATCTGTCTGTGCCTGCACCTGGCTGCTGTTTGTGTCGTCAGAGTACCTGCGAGGGCGAAAAGGAAAATATCCGGTTTTCAGCCGCAAACTGCACTTTTCTACTCATTGTGCAGCTTCTTTCGTTATCCTGCTGAGTGGCCCACACAGCCAGAGCGAAGGACTCACGAACCGGCAGACAGACACACGTTCAGGACATTGAATTTGTTTTGGGTTTTGATTTTTCGATTTTAGATTGCACGTCTGAATGGTCAGGACCAGGAGAAGGTGCTGGACCAGAAGCCAGCAAGGACCAAACGAGGACCAAAGCTCCGTAAATTCAAGTCACAGTTGAAGTGTTGACTGCCGCATTTATCGCAGCTGCAGATGCACAGACTCTTTCGCATTCGAATTGATTGCAAAGTAGTGGCCATTCAATAAACTAATTAAATACAAGTGACGTATAATTAATTTGCTACCGAGCACCCAGCACGAGGATCCCAAGGATATCCGTCGAATTGAATAGAAAAATTTGTTTATGCGAATCTTTGACTAATTAAATATACCTTACTTGAGGGGGATGGTACTCCCTGCTCTATGTAGCTGAAAATTGATGAATTTTCAGCTTGATTCGCTTCTTCTCGCTCCAAGCATTCAAATTGTGTTTGCATTCTCGATTTTCATATTTCTCATATTTCTTTTTGCCCAGCTTTTCTTTTGCTTTCCCACTTCTCCGTGCTTGTGTTTGCGTTGGCCAAATGGAAAAATTCTGGAACGGAATAGATGTAACAAGCGTCTCAGTTTCAGCAAAAGCACAAAGGAATAGGAAATTGAGTTAATTTTGCAGTCACACTCCCGGGCTGGCTTTAATAAATATTTGAGTTCGATGCCAGTAATCGGCTAATGAATTGGTAGCTCAGCAGTAGCCTGGCAAAGCTACGATACGTTGAAGGGATGCATTGAAAGGCTTTTGTGGGACAAAGGATAAACCGATTGCAGTTAAGGACTCCATCTCCAGTAGCAGCTGCAGTAGAAGCAGCATCTCATCAAACTGGCATGCATCGCCTGGCCGCATAATTGCAAATGACACCGCAAAGGGAATCCCCTCCGAATGCCAGGCAAAACGGTTTCAAGTCTACTTCTGTGTTTAGCTCCATTCTCTGGTCTCCGTTCTCTGCGCTTTTTCAATTTTCCTGCCGTTTTATACCCGGTAATTTGCTGGAATTAAGGGGTATACTGAATTCGTGACAGAGGTTTTTGAGCCCTTTTGTAAATAAATTCGATCACTTCTTTTTTTGATATTTATTACCATCAAAAAAGATAACAATGCTTTAAGAATGTCGCAACTTTTTAGTTTAAAACCAGGTATTTTGATAGTCGAAGCCTTGCCTTCTCACTCGCTTTTTGTTTCGTCCTTTGAGCGGCTCTCAGTTCCTCGACTGTGGTACTTTTGTAGTGGCAGTAGGACCTGGCCCTAGTTGCAGCTGCAACTGCAACTGCACCTGGCAGCGTTTCCACTTGCTTACCGCTTTTTATACTGGCCTTGGCTTAGCTTTCTGCCATTGTTGGTGCCTCGTTTGTTGCCTGTTTGTTGCATATCAGGGAATAAGTTTTTTCTGACATTATGGCTGTACGAGTACTGCGACACACAAAGAATGACAGAGAAACGTAGAAGAGATGAGAGAAATTGTGATATAGAGTCCTAGTACACTTAACCCTTGTCCTAGCTTAGGGGGGAGTCCGCTCTGTGATTTCACTCCGTTGAGTGTTTTAAAGGAGATTTATCATGGATAAGCTGGCATTAGCTGGGAATGTAAGGAATCTGTACAA